GTTCATCCTCGGAAAAATGTGTTGTCAGAAAAATACGAGGCTAGGGGTGGAAAAGAGAAGGGTAAGTTTGAACGAACCGCGACAACGTAGAACGTGAACCTCGCAATTCAGCTACGGAGATAATCGTAATAATGGGTTTGCCTACCACCGAATCTACCCTCTTCGATTTTATACAGCAACCCCGGCAGGAGGAGCTTTGAAGAGGACTATGCGAGTTCAATGTCGTGCAAACACGCGAGACGGTTCAATGGTTCCTCGACGAAATGATCGACAGGATTGTAGATCTGCTGATCCCTTGACACATAACGCAACCTCGTTACTTCCTCACGCACCTTTTATTGGGTTTTATGGATAGTATTTAGCATTTTTGGAGTTGATTACACTTGAAAGTAAGTACGAAGAAACTATAATACATATATATATTATAAATTTATACATAAAACTGCTTATAACATGTAAATTCATGTCAGACTGATTGGCTTAATATTCCTAGAGTATCCATGAAGAAAGAAGAAGTATATTGGCATTTCTGCTGGAAAAATCGAAAGAAACCAACATCGTTTCTCTTGATAGAGATTTACCGAGGAAACCATAAGACTGGCGTCGAAAACAACACATGCAGCAACAAGAAAGTGATCGAGACTTTCTGTCGCTATATTCCCATCGGGATCCATCATCGAGCTGAACGAGCAGAAAGGAATCGGTGCTCCTCGTCGTCGGTCGAGTGCTCGTCTCGTTACTCGAAACGGGGTCGATTTTGCGTGACGTTCTCCCGGAAACGGTCGATGCGGCACTTTGGCCCGTCGATCGGGCAAACGACAGGCGGAAAATTCTTTTTTTTCCCCCTTTTCCCTTCTTCTTCTTCCTCCTTTTTTTCGGCATCTCTCGATCCTTTGCAAGCCCTCGAAAGTGTGCTCGCGTCGAACTCGACGCTCGAGTGTCTTGAAGAGCGCGGATCGGTATATCTTCTTTTCGTTCGTTACGTCGTTCGACTCGTTAATTCAGTATCGATTCTCGATCGCGTCCCAAAGAATCTTCCTTGAGGACTGTCGAATCCGCAATAGCCTTTTCTCACGATGAAAAATCCCGTCTATCTTCTCATTTAGCTCGGCTATCTCGATCGTAACCCCGATGCTCGCATGGATCTTCCTTGCTTTTAAAGATTGCGGTTTCGCTGCAATGTTATCTTGATCCTCCCAAGCGACAGATTTATTCATAGGTTAATCGAGCATTGAGCTTTTAAACGTTTCTATTCTGAACACTCTGTTGCGAATTTCTGTTCGAGATTTTTGCAAGAGAATGATTCTCCAAATGGAAGAAAATAAACAGGGAATACCGCGATTTTCATTGCACTCTAAAAGAATTTCACGAGTGAAACTTGCGTTATTAAACTTTCTTCGATCGTTTGATAAGAACTATTTTCCTGTAATATGTTTCCAAAACGAACAGACAACTGAAAGTTGCTAATTCTGTTTCAGCGAAGTATGACGCAATCTCGAGTTTGGATAGCTGTTCGAGCAGACATCGTACATCGTTCTGCGGCAAACTTATTTCAAAAATTCCTCATCGAATCCCTCGAATCTCTCGAAGAAAAGGGAGAAGGAGAAAAGGACTCAAACAACCGGAACAATAATTACCAATAATATTCAAGCACCACACAAGTCTTCGCTCAGCAAAAACGCTTCTACCACTCCTGCAACGCGACCATGCTCCACTTCCTCCGACCTTTCCTCGCGTAATATCGCTTTCGAGGCGGCGCGAGGGCACGTAAGATTCACAGAGCTCTCACATAATGATTCGTTAGTCTCCCCGTGCAGCCATCGTGGGCTACCTACAGAGCACGACTTCGTACGTAGACTTCGAGTGGCCGTAAGTGGATGGTACCGCAGGGTGGCGGTGTACTCATACACACATAATACATCTACACGCATATACGACATACCGGGAGCTCGTTTGGTCTCTATTTGTCCCCAGAAGTTCAAGAGTCCGCTATATACATATACGTTCGCATACATATGCAAATATATACGTATATACATACGAATATACGTACGAATATGCATATAGAGTTATATAGATATATATGTATGTAAAACGATCAACTCCCGGTCGCGTTTCGTGTCTCTCCCTCCCTCTCCTTCTCTCTTTCTCTGTCTTTCACTGTCTCTCCTTCGAATCTCTCTTTCCGCGTCCCGTTTCCGAGGCTGGCCTTCATGGCCAGCATTCACGGCTCGGGCGAGATCCGAGTACCATCGAGCCTGAAACTCGTTATCGAAACTTATGCGCGCGCGAGCGCACAACAGCAAGCTCGCCCCTGGCGAAACCACGCGAAAATCCGCGGTTGATTGCAATCAGCCCTCTTTGCGGACTTCCGCGCTCGATTCCGCATAGACTTCGCCGAGTCACGGACTCGGGGGAGTCCCCGACGACTTCCGGTTTAGGGAGCAACGCGCGAGCGCACGCCTTCCGCTTGATATAGGTTGCGCTTAAGGTCTCGTTTCACTCTTGTCGGTTCGAAAGACTCATTTTATGAATCTTTCACTTTGTATCTGTGTGATTGAGGACTATGAATATGTCGAAGAGGAAATTGTTAAAAAGAAATGGTTGCGGTCTTGGAGTGGATAAAGGGAGTGACTGAAACTTGACGAGAATGATGATAAGATCTCCAGGAAAAAGGAGAAAGTGGGAGAATGAAGAGATGAAGTAACTTTTTCTTGAATAGTGCGGGTATGTAGGAAATTTTAGGGAGAACCTAGTGTTGCGTTAATACGATAGTGGGAAATATACTCGGATAATATTCGTTAATATAGGACTTGACAAAGTGATGTTATTACATTCACTATGAAAATGGTAAGTTGCACGGTTTTGCTATTTTTTTACCGTCGATGATCACCGATGGAAGGTTCATTTAAACATGATCTTTATGAATGATCGTAGGTCGAACCGTGTATGTACTAGATGAACAACAAGCGGATTGAACGGTGAGACGCACGGTAGACGAAACAGCAGACTGAACGAGGGGACGAGCGACCAGGATGCAACCAATGAGCTGCGCAACAATTATTTATTGTTGCCAGACTGCCGCATCGTGCCGGGCAGACCTGTCTGCCCAATGAAGATTGCTCGTTAAAATCTGATTCTGGCCGGACCGCTTTAAATGGTCATCGCCAAAACGATTCTCTCAAACTGACTAAATCAGCTCGTGTACGAACGAAATGAATGCAACATTAGTGCGATTAAATACATTAAAATTCACCGTAACATTCACAAGCATCGATAAGGGAAGGATCGAGAGAAGTAATTAAAATTGACAAAGAAGAATAAAATCCGACAAAGATGATGGATTGAAAAGATATGATAGAAGAGATAAAATCATAATTATAATTGTCATGAATAATTAATGTCTAAACAGAGGCTGGTTTCAACTGCTTTAATGTAATTAAAGGAACTCGTGTCATACTCCTTGGAGACAATTTGCTTTCACGAGACATGGCTACGTCTGCAGTCATTAATCGTTGCCGATCGTAGACTGGCAATAGAGAAAAATTTCGGGTTCCTAAAGCAATATTTACATGTCGTTCAGTCGGAACGACTCTCAGGCTGACGATTCTACCTGGTCGAATTCCATCTCTCATGCTTCGAACAAACACACCTTTTCGAGGACTATTTTCGACGCATTGGCATCGTCCTATACGATTTGCTTAACACTCTCACTGTTAAAGTAGCGAACGTGTCAAGTCATATGATTTTAACACGCCGAGTATGGCTGAAAAATGGCCGACATTGACATCGATTAAAATTATCATCAAAAAATAGCTATTTAAAGATCTACCTGTAAGCTGGCAAACATTACTGACAACTGTAAGTAATTTTTCAATTTTAATATGTCGAAATTCTTTTCTAATCCTTAATCTCCTTTGATTAGATGGAAAAAATTATGATGGCAACAACGGAAGTGCTCAAGATATCGGAAATGCCTGACATTCATTCCATATTTCAGCAACTAGTAATTCAAGCGCTTAACGACTGGTTCAAAAATATCTCCTAATTTCAGGGATTTTTGGGCATTCAGAAATCCATCTATAGGGGTAATCGAATGTCTATTCGACGGCAGTCGCCTCGACATTTCCGGCTAACAACTCCGACGCAACCAACGCCCCTGAGGTCGATCGATCCGATTGGCCAAGAGACGTAGATACACCCACGCGTACACCCACCACCTGCTCCCTGCAATTAATCTCCTCTCAGCAATTAATCCTCATCGCGTACGTGTGTGCAGGCGTGTAAGCGTGTGTGCACAATTTCAAGCATCGTGTTCTGTAGCAAAAGCAGCTGGACCGATACGGCTGATCGAGATCGAGATGAATCACATTGTTGCTACATTGTTATTAGCCGTGTTAAGGTCGCAGGAAACACAAACGGTGATTTGTAACAGCAAGTGAAATTTAAATGCAACCAGTGAGAGGAAACGTAAATTATTTAAATGATTTCATTATAAACGTGCCTATAGCACATAGAAAACAGTCTCAGGTCGGAAAACCGTGAAATATTGCAATTCGGTAGATAACTACAGTATATAATGCATGACTTATGGTAGTGAGATCATAAAAAATACTTGTAATGTCTACTCGCAAAAGGAGAGAAAGTGGCCTTGTATGGTCAGTTCATTTGATATGGGCTTATATTCTGTGCTTTTCAACTTGATAGTTAGTAAGTATCAGTAATTACTATCAGTAAGTGCTACCGACTAACGAAAGAATCATTGCAAAGATACGGACAAGCTCCGGAACGGATCTCTTGAAGATCTATTTTTACTATAGTTAGAAACTTATTTATAAGATTCGAAGCAGATATATTGATAGACTAAAATGTACTTCGATTACCTTTCAGTGGTTCCATATTAACCTTCGATCGCGAATCGATCGTTTGATCGACGAATTGCGGCGCTCTATCGCCAGGCAGCTAACAATAAACCAAGAAGGAAAACATTTGACACGTACCTGAGTGGGCGTAAGGTGAATTATGGCGGCTAGGTGTTCCCGTTCAGGTGCGCTCAGGTATTTCTGCTGCTTGAACCGCCTCTCAAGCTCGTGAACCTGGTGCTGAGAGAACAGAACGCGACGCTTTCGTTTCTGTTGAAGGTGGGGGGCGAATGGCATCGCGCCGACGCTCATGCCGACGCCCATGCCGACAGTGACTCCCATGCCCGACGACTTAGTCACATCGCTCATTGACTGGCCCACCGAGCAAGCTGCCATGTTGGTCCCGGCGCCCGTCGCCGCGGCGCCCATCAGCCGGGAGACTGTAATAGAACATCGAAAATATCGATGATGATATCCTGTCTTACTTTCCAATATGTAACGTCGAACAGCAACACGAAGATATGTAATTATCTTAAGCGCAATTTCTATCATCGTTTGTTTTTTGGGCCTGATCATTCATGGTTTGATTTATAGTATACTTCATATTCTTCCTGTTTGGTATTTATTAATGAAAAAACCTAGCTTGATACTGTCGACTAATGTTTAATACCAATTATTATATTTATCAAACAGTCTAAATAAGAATAGGTATACTATATTATAGGAATAATATTCCTATCTATATAATGGAGAGCTTCTGTTTGAAACCACTTCTAATTTATGATAAATGTGAAGAACCATCTGTAACACTTCTGCTAGCAATACAAATCCCTTAACTATTGTTTAAGAAGAGGGAAGCACATTTCACAAGGATCGCCCATGAAACGCACCAAAGCAACGTTCTTTTCGCCAAGACGATGACAGCTTATCGTTCCATTACGTCTTTTACTTTCCTGTTATAAAAACTTCGTATCGCAAAACAGTTCTTCATTGTTTCTTCGCATACTTCCGTCGTATTTTTTATCATTCAACCTATATCACCGTCGCCCACAGGAACATCGGTGCGCATTCTTACGTGCTCAGTCGCTAAAGAACATTCAACTTCCCACCAACGGCCATACTAATGGTTGTTCCCATTGAACAGCTCGAGATAATTTATCCCGTTGGAATCCGTAGAGGATCGCGGAGAAGAGAGGCACGCGAGACATCCCGCGAGAGAAGAAGCAGCCACAGGGAGAGCGGAGGTCGAGCCTCTGAATTCGAGCTACTGAAACCCAACGAGCAGTCCATCCCTTGTCAGTTAGCGAAGGGCTGTCAAGAACGGACACGTCCGACCAGGACAAAAGGAGCGATTTAGCCGCGCAAAGTGCTACGTCATCGAGCACGGGAGGTCCGACGATGAAGTCCCGAATTATTATGTCTGTGAGAACGTATTCTCGCCCTGTCAGCTTGTGTCCGCCTCGGGAAAGAAATACCACTCGAGACACCAAACACCCACGAATTTGTTTACGCGCACTATGCTTCATTTCGGGTTTCCTTCGAAATTCGATCAAAATCCGTGAACCCTGAAAAGGTAGCTTGCATTTTTGTTACATATCGAGAAACAACCAGATGTCATTAAGACTTTGAATTATAAATCGTTGATCGAATTTTATTTTGCTTAAAAATGTGTCTCAAATGTTCGACAACATTTCAGTTTCGTTGGGAGTATTCAAAATGGCCGAGCAAAGATGCAACGCTGGATCGAAGTAAAATATGAATAAAGTTTCTATCGAAGAGAACTTTGCAATTTTGAGATTTCGCTGCAAGTATTACGGTAAATATTTTATATACCTGCCTATACTTTTATATTATTAAAATAAGAAAGTACGACGATAGGCAGAAGCATTCGTATAAATAGCATTAACTGGATAAGATTTTCCAAACGAGAAGAAAGGATATGAAGCTATATATCAATGTCACAATGGAAACGATCACTGTTAACTTCTTAGTCATCCACGAAACATATGTATCTTTCGATAAAGTTTCAAAACTACCATCGGCGAAGTGTCGATGCTGGATCAGGACAATGGGTGTCCCGTAAAGGAATGACGGGTTCAACGTTTCAATGAAACTTCTGCGAACGGGGTGGGCCACGCTCGCTACAGCATATAGGAATATCATTAAGCAAATTGACGTTTTCAATCTGACCACCGAAATCGAATCTCCCGTTAGGAAGAGTCAAGAATAGCCGGTCAAACGCGTCAATCGACTAAATAATTATATGGTATCAGGAGTATGATAGACAAACAACAATCCCGTTCCTCATCGTTAAAGAGTTCAAATGTAAGTTGACCGCAGATAAGCTTTCTAACAAAGATAATGAAGCAATACCTTATCTTCAGAGATCAAGCCAAGTTTGGTTATAGTTTTACATTTTATTCCAGGTTGTCATGAATGGTTTAGCTCATAGGTAAAGCTATGTAAAGTAGCACCTATAGCCTCTATCTTATATTTCATCAGCTCTCTGTCGAAGAAGGTAAGGAGACTTTTATTTTGTGAATAAACGATTGATATTTTCGAGTAAACAGTAAAGCAAATCTTTCCTATTCTATTTAGGTACTCACAAAGGCGGTACCTTTAAATTTTGCCAAGAATTTATCCTGATACTAACTCATAAACAAACTCTATTATACTAACGCACATCGTGCGTTCGATTCCAGTATCCTTGCTTATTTCTCATTTTCTTTATAGATCCGGTGGATGAAAACTGGGTGGAATTGAATTTGGAAACGCTCCGTACGTTAAGTTAAGGTAGCCTCGTGCGACGAGGGTCGTTCAAGCTTATTTGTTTAACTAAAATCTCCGGTAGTGTCCGGTAGCCACGCATTTCGGGGGCCAGGGATCGATACGTTCTCTAGCGGCTAGCAGAGTGGCGCGTGCGGCCGACAGAAATCCAAGGAGACGAGCGTCTGTTGACACAAGTCCGAAGGACGCGAGCTTTGTTGGCCGACAATCATCTTCAGCGGCCTCTGAAACGCGAGAAGCCTCGACGACCACGCTATCTATGAGTATGGCTATCTATATAGACGAATAGTCAATGTAGATTCGATTTGTCCTATGAATGCACGTTTGGGACAGTGAATAGATGAAGCATTTAAGCAAAATGATCTGTCTTCGATATTTCCAGAGTTTCAGCCGTGACTGGAGGTAAAGTTTAGAAGATAAAATTTTAGGAACAGTGAGCTTACTATCAACCATTATTAACTAGTACTGTCATCAAACTTTTCGAAATCTCGACAAATTCTAGCGGAATACGAATGCATGGCAACGTTTAGGGTAGCGACCGAAGAAGAAATTCATAAGTCTGTATCACGAGGCGACGTGACGGAAGGACAGGCTGCTGTGGACTTTGAAATACGAGACTGATACTTCATCGATGGCTAAATGGAAGTAAGTGCGAGCTAGTAATAACAAAGCTAGACACGAGGCCAATAAAAGCGGGACAGACGTGCTTCGTCGATGGCAAAAGGGATGATCGCGTGCAACCCGCACCGAACGGCATTTCCTTTCTTCGGGAACGAAGTGTGTTTGCTCTTTCCACTGCTTTGCATTTCGAGTCACACTTTTCACATTTTCACGCGAAAACTTGAAATATATTAGAAACAATTCGATACTGTTTGAAGACCACAGTTTCTAGTTTCAATCACAAGGATACAATGGAAAGGAAAGAAAGCACAAGAAGAACTAATTTTACGATTGCTCTAATCTATTCTTCACTTAGATAACATGTTCACAAATGTCACTCTCGATTAACGATTCTATCCTACAAGTTTCCCAACATAGTCGTATGTCAATCACGTCTATTACGATTACAAGTTTCACTGTGCCGTTAAAATAGCTAGGACCAAAACTCGTTCGTATCATCCAGCATGAAACTGATATCATGACACGTTTTCCACAGGAGAACCAAACGAACCAAAGGAATCTTCAAACACAAAGAAGCACTCCGCAGGTGCGCAAAGAATTAGCAGATGAAAGGAAAATACTCACGGGCAAACCGGGGATCGTTGGTGGCCGGCGCAGTGGGCGCGTACCACGCATGATGGGTCCTCATGGGGTCGGTAGCGGTCGCACCTCCAGCGACCGCTGGACCCGCATGATGATATGACAATTCCGCGGCGCAGTACTGATACTGCGAGGTAAGCTGCATGGTAGCGTAAGGATTGCCCATGGCGGTCATGCCTGACCCGGTACTGGCAACGCTGTTGCCTCCTCCGGCGGCGTCGTTCGAACCGGAAACCGGTCCGGGTGTGCCGCCCCCGGGCGTCGAGGCTCCGTGAAGCGGTGGACTGCCGCTGCTCACGCTCGAGCCGGTATTGCCACCGATACAAGAGCCACAGTTTCCGTAAGTCGAGACCTGAGAATGCGTAACGCCAATCACTTGCTCCAGCTTCCTGAACGACTCGTTATCGATGGGTGAGAGGATGTCACTGACGCTAAACGGAGTGGTATGAGCGCCACCAGCGGCTTGTACATGAGACGAGTGCTGTTTGGGCGATAGGCTCATCGCCAGGTCGATACCGTTCAGATCTGTCAGCAAGCTAGCTTGCTCCAGCTGTGTTTGTTGCTGTTGCTGCTGTTGCTGTTGTTGCTGTTGTTGCTGATGTTGGTGATAGCTGGTGGCATTGTTGTTCCCCTGGTTGCCGGAGCTGTTCCCGCCGCTGCCACCGCTCATCTCGACGAGGCCCGCGCCCTCGAGATACTTGAAGCTCGCGCTTCGCGGAATCCTGAGGCCGGCGCTAGCCTTGGAATACCGACATGACTGGATCCGCCGAACGCGCCAAGCCTGGACTTAACTTAAGATAATTTCCTCGCGAATTACCCGTCGCTGCGGGTTTTTCTCCACGTTACTATCTATAATTCTTTCTGATTCTTTTCTTTGTCCTTCAGTGACCGTCCAAAATGTATATTTGATTTCCTTTCCTTTAATGGATTTTTAATCGTAGGTCGAGGATGTAGAAGATCCGACGATTTACGGACAATTATTACAAATATCGTCCGTTCATCGAAGAAGCAAGAAACGCATCACTTGGCACAGTTTGAATAATTCACGGCCCCACTTTGTTGAATTCATCGACAACACATCGATAAATAATCCTACCGAACGCCCGACCACTGCACGATGTTAGATCAGTTTTGTTAAGGTAACTGACTACAGGCATTTCATGGGCGGGTTCACTGACGCATCAATCGAATTGATGCAGTTCGCGAAACGCATCCATCGCACCGGTGCACGCAAACTTGACTGCTGCTGGACGCGTCCAGCGACGACACCGCGTCATCCACCGCATTCCTCTATCCGAGCGGCATTCATCGGGTCAGCCGGTGACCGGTCGTCAATGTTCCAAGTAGAATGAGGTCAAAGACTGCTGCTGAAGCACGGAAGTTGCGGTTGCCTTGCGTCAATGGTCAAGGACAACGAGCGACGACTTTGGTCGACGAGGTTGCTAAGGTCACCGACGACTGTCTAACTTCAATGGTAGCAGTGTTCCGAACGAACCGCCCTTTAGGAAGGGTTTCGCACGCGCACGCGACTGATCAGTCGTCTTTTGAAGGACGAAGTAGGTCGTGGTAAGATACGTAGACACAACACGATTTGTTACGTCACGACACCGACAAGGCACGACACGGCACGACAGGATGCGAAATGATACGAAACGAAAAGCGAACAGAAGAATGACACACACGTGGTCGAGGAGAGTGGCCGGCCAGAGCCGGCCGGCGGCCGACTGAAATCACCCGGGGGGTCTTCGAGTCCTTGGACTCTGCCGATAGAGAGACGATGGTAGATGTACCACTCTACGCTTCGCCTCCACCTTCGTCGAGGATACACTCTCTCTCCGTAAGAGAGGAGAGAGCGTCTATGGATGGATGGTTTGCTGGCTGGCTTGCTTGCTAGCTGGCTGGCTGGCTGGCTCGCTGGCTGGATAGATGGATGGATGGATGAATGAATGAATGAATGAATGAAGAGGACTGTCGGGTACTCCTGGAGAGGTCCTCACGGCCGCTTAGACCCACTCGACCAGCGGCTCGGCTGGCCGCGCTCGCTCACTCGCTCGCTCGCTCGCTCGTTCGTTCGTTCGCTCGTTCGTTCGTTCGTTCGTTCGTTCGTTCGTTCGTTCGTTCGTTCGTTCGTTGGTTCGTTCGTCCGGGCTAGGGCCCCACAGCCTCTCGCGGAGAACCCGACGACACGATGAGTGGAGTGCCCACTACGGAGAAGTGCCTGCTACCAAGAGTCGTGATGAGATGTCCCCTTTTGCGTGTGAGAGAAGGGCTCCCACTCGCCTGCCTCTAGAGGGGTTCGCGGGGTTACCTAACCGACCTCCAAGCCAAACCCGGCTACCCTAACTACTCTGTCATTGGTCAAGACCAACCAATCAGCGTGCCCATGCAATTCCATTGGATCGCTTTCAAAACGGTTCGACGCTTGCTCGGGGTTGCACCACACTGGTCCGCGCCTCGCTGTTGGTGAAACCTATAGATCTTCAGTTACGAGTCCGCCTATCCCGTGCTGATCCTTGGCTCCCTACGAGGGTCTACCTCGTTCACCTAATCTAGTGGCGTCTCATGGCCACCAGTCTCGGGACAGCCCACCTTTCTCACTTCTCTTTCTATTTCTCTTTCTGTATTTAGCTATCTAGCTCTATCCTTTTCCATCGTTTCAAGCCTAGCTTTGTCCTTGGAAAAGTTTCACCACCTTTCATACGCACACTGGTATTACCGTTGCTTTTCCTTTAGATAGCTAAAACGACCTTACCGACTATCCTCCTCGCAACCAGCAACAGTACACATTTGTAATCATTGGTGTCGTGCTGGTACATTCTATAGTTTGCCGTAACGATACAACGTGTCGCTAGATGCACATTCTCCTATCGCAATTTATGATGAATATATTTCTTTTTATTTGTGAAACGAAACAGGATACTTTTTATTTAATTAAATTCATAAAGAATACCAAGTTCAAATTTAATTCATATATTTTTGACATCTCCATATATAATCAGAAATTTTAACATTTAAAATAATTGATTAACATTGAAAATTCAGAAATCAACATTTTTAATCAATATAAAATAATTTTCTTACTTCGATCCTTTTAGTGATAAAACTGTTCATCCACTAATAGATATAAAAAAAAAATATTATTCCAAACAGCGACATCTGTTGTGCACTTTCTGAACAACTAAGTATCTCTTTTAAGAAGCCTATGTGTTATATATTTGTTCGTAAGGTTGAAATGGCAGGTCGAATGTTCTGTACTTATAAACTAGCAACAAATTACATAAAAAATATCAATATTAAAAATAATGGTAATTCGTATAAAGAATTCTTGATATGTTTTCTAAATAATTTTATTTGTTTGCTGCTTTTAATTTATATAACCTAAAAAGTTCATTATGTCAATTTTTATTGTTTTTTCAACTTCAAATACAATTCGTTAACATAATACGATCTTACATATAAATCATTTTCAGCTCTCAGGTTATTGACACCACAGATATTGTTATCGCAAAACGTAAGAAATTCGACTTTTTTTACAAAAAGTACGTATGTTTTTTCACGTTTAAAATTATTTATCATAGTTTATCTGGAAGTATGCATTCATCTGAAGATATGTCTTGTGTTTAGAAACTGGTGAACAATTATGGAAGTCTGTTAACAGTATCAGTAATGCTGGTAGAAGAAGGGGAAGAGGAAAAGGAAAACAAAGTATGCCACCAAAAGATGTAAACGCGAGTCAGCAACAGGTATATGGAAAAGTACCAGTTATATTCCCAGGATTGAACTCTCCTATATTGCGAGGAAAAACTTTGATTGAACAAAGAGTTCTTACAAGCGAAGAAGGGACTGGAATACAGCCATCTATAATGTCAAACATAAAACGAAAGCGAGTAAAAACTCATCCTTTAGATCGTGGTTGGTCTGGAGGACACCCACATGGGAGGAAATGTGGAGCACCCGCACCTATTAATTGTGGTATGTAATATAATCATTTAATATATATAATGTGTGTATATCAATGTATAAATATAAATAATCATATATATACTTTCTAAAATTTATATAATTTCAGATGAATTTAATGGATTTGAGAGTTGGATAATACAGAATAAATATGTAACTATTATGTCAAGCACTCTGGGTCGTGTAAAACGTCATCGTACTTTCGTAATAACTGGAAATAGAAATGGCTTAGCTGGATTTGCTTCGGTAACAAAACATGATTTAAAAGGAAGTATATCTGCAGCAAAAAACAAAGCAGGACAACGATTAATATACATTGAAAGATATAATGATCACACTGGTAGATAATTTTTTATCATTATATCTGATTTATATATTTATTATGAGCGCTAAAAATATCTTAATATTTTCTTTTAAGTGCTCCATGACTTTTTTGCACATTTTGGCAAAACAAAAATTTTTGTAACTCAAAAACCTAAGGGTTATGGACTCAAATGTCATCGTGCTATTAGAACATGTTGTGAAGCAATTGGCATTACTGATTTGCATGCCAAAATTGAAGGATCTAAAAATGTTATTTATATTGTAAAGGCTTTCTTTATTGGTTTGTTACAACAGGTATATTTATCAAAACTATATTAATTTTTCATAATAATTTCCGTTCGTTACATTCTTTCTTGAAAATTTCTACGTTGTATGAAGATTTCATGTCATTATTTGGGAACTTTTGTAGCTTATTGTTCATAAATTTTACTTATTAATTATTTAATATTTTCAGAAAACATATCAAGAAATGGCAAATGAAAAGGGGTTACATTTAGTCGAAATGAGAAAGGAAAATAATTATTTCCCTAAAGTATTAGCTTCACCAGCAAGAGTTCGAGACTCTACAGAAATTTCATCCAGTGAAATTTTAGATTTTAAGCAATATGTAATGAATGGAAGAGTTCCATTGAAAAGAAAACCGAATACACCATTCTATGCAAAACTACCAACATGGCTAGTGCATTTGCGAAAACAAGAACGTCTTAGGAATCACGATAACGTTGTAATCAAATTAAGATCTGAATATGATGATGTTTGTAGTTTTCTTGCTGAGAAATATCCAGAAGCAAAAGCTTCAAAGTGGAGGAAACGGGATAATAAAGAGAAAGAAAGTACTTAACTATAATATCTGTGTAATCAAAATAAATATTAAAAATATAATTAAATATTAAATATACATTTAATAATAATAAAACTTAAATTGTAAAAAGTTAAGTTTATGTTTGTATTTCTTCTTTTTCCCTTTAAAAGAATATTTCTAAATGAGCATAATTTTTAAATATAAACCTAAATTTTAAACGTCTAAACAAGGCAAATGAAGCTAATTGTAAACCATATTATTTGAATAATAAGTTCTAGAGGAAGTCTATATTATCAACAGAAGGTATAATAATATATATTCTGAAATATAAAGTTTCAAATATGGCGTGTAGATGAATGTACCAGAAACCTCGTACGGCTTCGTTTTAAGATAAAAATGAACGAAGCCTTACTGATTCCTTGGGAAAATATATCATAAAGGACATTTGAGTAGCAATTTTCGTTCAATCTATTTTATACAAAACCAACACGGTAAATTAGTACAAAACAAGTAATTTTCTATTGAACTATTCTTCTCTTATCATATATATTTATCATACATTTAGACAAATATTTAAGAAATCAGTTTTAGAGCATGGCTGATCCAACGATACAAACATTCTGTTGTCACCATTCTAACAAAACAGATATGGCAATTGTGGTAATGCAGGAATTCAACACGGATGTTTACAATACTGTTTGTATGCTATCTTCTTCTATAGGCATCCTAGGTGCAGTATACCAGGTAAACAAAATTTTAATAAAGTATGATAAAACACTGACAAAGTTGGTTTGTAGATACTTCCAAGAGAAACGTCTAATCTTCCTCACAGGTGGCAAAGTTTTTCTGCATCTAGAGGAAGAGAGATCATTATATGGCTTGCAATAGCAGATCTCTTAGCATCATTGGGTAATTATATTTGTCTTTAACATAAATACAAATAAAATGAACAGAAAAAATAAATAATTTTATTTTCTTCGTAATTTGAATCATTTTTAGGTGTATTTATTAGATCAGCACTATGGGTTAATTTTAAATCTGTAATGCCAATGGAAGATGATACTTCAAGTGTTGTTTTTTGTGCACTTTCATCGGTAAAGTAATTCCATTAAATAGTTTATTAAGCTAGAAACAAATTTGGTTCATTCTGTTGCTGGACTAATATAAAAGGATTCTATTTCCAGGCTTGGACACAGTATTTTTATATGGCAACATGGATTTGGACTCTTTGTTATGCTATTGACATGAAGCTATTGTTAGGAGATAGGGCTGGACATCCTATTTGTTATCATGCTTTTGCATGGATATGTCCAGCAATTTTGACTACATTTGGTTTAACTATGTTATATGTACCAGATGCAAAGTTAGTCCTTTTAATTTAGTGAGAAGCAATAACATTATTTTTAATAGTTCTTTAAATTGTTATAAAATTTTATTTTTCCAGTTGTCATAATTTATCATTATCCACTGCTATACTACGTATTTTACCAAATTATTGTGCTATTTATGTACTATTAACAGTGGTCATGATAGCCAATCCCTTATTATATTTTGCGTCAACACGAGATCTTCAAACTGTTGTTACTTGCAGTTTAGCTCAAATAACAAGCAGAGAAAGGAAGTTGGTGCAAGGGATAAGGCTCAAATTCGCATTAACTAATTTTGTATATTATATGTGCTGGTTACCAAATTTAATTAATGGGATTTTGTTATGGACTTTATGGTTTCAATTACCAATCAAAGCTATCATTACTCTCTGGTATATAATGGTATGTACATTTTTCAGCAATTATGTAGCAAATTAATCGATTAGAACGATTTATTGACAGGCTGTTACAAATCCTCTTCAAGCATTCTTCAATGCCCTTGTTTATAAGAGATGGGGTAAAACAGAGAAATTTCGACTAGAATGCTGTCAAAAGTTAGGAAACTTTAATTTGAGTCATATTACGAAAAGAGATTCAAATATGCGATTGTCGGAATCATCACCCTTATTAGATCCGAAATTTGGGTGTCCACCACATACAAGTATTAACGGATCGTCCTCGTTCTGAGAACTGTGATACGGATAATTCGTTCAGTCTGTAGTAATATGAATAATGTACTGCCTTATGTCATTTTTAAAAGGAGCTATATTTTTAATATCTACAAATGTTTTAAGTTTTAAAGATATAACATGCTCAATTTTATTGACACTAGAACTATCAAACCAATTAAAATATCTAATTTCAGACTTTCTGAAACCTTCGATTTCTGTAGTTATCGGAAACATACAACTATTTTTTACAAAATTAATGTTGGTTCATTTATATAGAAATGTAATTACATTTATTTATTTATTTTCATTATACCATTTTAATTATTATTCTCTGTGTATATTATATTTATGTATACATTGCAAATCGATAGTTCTAGTGTTAAGTTACTTAACAGGGAAGAAGAAGAGAAATTATTTATATGGAAGTATTGTGTATATAAAATAATTAATTTTTTTTACATATATTTATGTTATAAATTAAGATTTTCTAAAGATTAATGTTGTAATAGAGGGTTTTACAAAAAATTAATTCTTCATACTAACTTGGGATATTTTTCTTAATAAACATATTTGTTAATTGTTATAAATGTTAAAAGATTTTATTTTTCATTCGTATAAGTAGAACACGTATATACATAATTTAATCAATATAACTTTATCATATATCTAATGTTTTTTATATTGCAATTCAATAGAAATAAACTATAAAGTGTTAAATATATTTAAATTTTGCGTAAATATGTTATATGTAAATTTAATTACTTTTGAAATTAAAAAGCATAAGAATTTATTGATCATCATTATTATAATTAATGAAGATTACCTCCAAAAAATACATATCTTAAAAAGTAGTATACATAGAATTTTCAAAACAGATACTTCGAATTTTTGATTAACAGATTTTATTCGTACAACAACCCTTCTCCTTTTAATAAAAAAATTCTTATGTACATTACTATTAACACATAATCAGACACTCATTTTTCTAAAAAATTACATATACATTTTGTAAAGAGTACCAAGACTATGTCTTCAACAGGTTGTATTTACGTATAGCACCAAAATTTTTATATAAATATAAAGAATATAGTAACCAATCCAAAATTTGTTCATTTATATTTATACATTAAATTTGAATATTTATAAAATGTCATGTTTATATTTTTTTTTAAAGATGTAAATCGCCAAAATACTATAAGACTTGTACACAAAAGAGAATTAAACTAGCTAATATCATATTTTCGTTCTTATATTGAAAGGAACTAATATGCACCATTAAACTCAATGGACTAATATTTTATGAACATTTGTCTTGGACTGTATATATTTGTCGTATTATTTAAATTATTTTTCGAATAAATTGTTTTGTGATAATAGTTGTTTATTTCTCTTATACTTTCTTTTGAAAATAGATTCGATTTTAATAAAATAATTTTTATATAACACTACATATTACCCATTAAATCTAACTATATAAAACTATGGGTATATAAAGATTTTTCGATAATACAATAAGAAACTGAATGTTTTGTATACATTACTTAATATTCTGTAATAAATACTGCCAAGTAAACGCCTAAGGTATAATTGTGAAATATAATTAATATATACTATAGTAAATTCATGTAAAATAAATGACATTATCACATGAAATTTTATCTCTAAAAGCCTACGAATTTGTTAAGAACTGATTCATTTTCTAATACATCTAAACTATACTTCATTCATTAACCTTTTAAAACAAGTATATTGCATCCCATTCTCTCACGATATGTTATGTTTCGTTTACTTATCATGCACAGAACGCTATTTTTATCTTCTATGTTTATAAATAAAAAAAGTTTGGGTTAAATATGAAAACATGAAATATCAAACCTATTGAACTACAAATATACTTGGCAGTTAAATAATTAATGAAAATAATATGCACTATTTATTCTAATATAGTCATTTTTAAAGTATAATTATATCTTACAAGAAAAATGAATACTTTTATAATCTCACGAACATCAAAAAGCATTTAAAAATTATTTCCATTTGTATAATTTGCTATTATGCTTTTCACATAAATGGGAAAGTTTTGTATTTACAGTAATATCATTATTCGTTTTTTTAACTCTGACTATTTTTAAATATTTTTTATAAAACCTGAAATTATTAAACTTGTCACAAGTTTATGAATAAAATGGAACAATATTCCAATAAAGAATTACTTTTTAAGAAGAACTTTTATAAATATAGAAAATATACACATTTTTATATCGTATAGCGGTCGATGATCATAATGTTAATTTCGCAATACATTTAGCATTAAACGTGTATTTTTTTTTTTTTTTTCATGTTATGAAAGATAAATAATAAATATATGAAGATTTATAAATATGAACTTATCCCTTTCATAACTGTTAAATTTAATAGTAAAATAATGAGGTTCATTTTTACTCAATTTGGCACTTCAATGGAATATGCAGTATCGATTTATAAAGAGTTTAGAAAGTCATACGATGTCGAACAAAATAATTACCTTAAAGCACTTAAAGTGCAAAGTATATTATGTAAGCAAAAGAACAAATTTGTGTTGAAGGTAGGATTTGCCATCAAGATGAAAAATTTGAAGCTCCTAGAGTCAAAGAGGTGATCTCACGAACGATCATCTCAGCAATTTTCCATGCTAACTCTTCTTTAGCCTAATTATATCGATTTATTACAATTTAAATATACATAAAAAGAAATTAAAAATTAAGTGTTAAATATCGCATGTATATTATTGATAGACGTGAAATTTACCTTATCTTGCTCCATATTTACAAATCTTTTTACAGCACGTGTTAATCGCGACTCTAAAATTACGAACAATTATTTCAATTCATTTTGTACATTCAAAATAACTGATATAAATAACTCACCATATTTTCTTTGAGGATCGGGTTCTATTTCGGTAATAAATCTGCCTAAATCATCAATATAGCCAACGCTCAAACTATAAAATAAATAATATATATGTTGAAATGTTTATTGTATAGTATATTCGTTTTATGCTTACTTATATTTGTTACGTTTCCATAACGAATCTGGATCATAAAGTTGTCTGGTGTCAATATTCATACCACTGGTAATATTTGTGTTATTGTTGTTCAATCTATTTCCTTCATTCCCTGCCTGCAGGGAACTATGCATATTAATACTAACAGAACTGACTTCACTACTACAATCGGAACCTACAGATTTCACAATAATCTTGAATGAAAGCATTTCATTTGTATAGTTGTATAATGCATAATAAATGTAAACTAACACAAACCTGCTCTTTTTAGCCTAGTATGTATATTTGAACATGGGCTGCTTTGTATAGTACTGATCAATTCTGATAAGTATTTGTAATATAACTGAGATGATAAGAAAGTCGGTAGATAATACTAAAAGAGGAAAAACTCCATTATCTAGAGTTATTAAATCTTATCGATATGTTATTGATTTCATACGACGACCTTAAATTATTATAACTACTATTGGCACATTATTGTTACCTTATTTAAGAAATTATATACAATTTTACAAGGTTTATCGAAACAATCGGGTTGTGGCCCCGCTCCATCTTCGCGGCAAATATTCTGCTCAACTTGGAAACGAATTTTATCGCTAAAACCAAGGGGCATCGTCGCTTGTAAACTAAAATATCTATAATAATATACATAATAATAATGTCAACAATTTTACTTTTTATTAATGCATTTCAAAAATTGTTAAAAAAGAAAATGTTAGAAAAAAATACTTGTCATAAATAATTAGAGCATCAGTTTGTGCTTCCTCGGGATCTGCAGCATCTTTCTTTTCTAATAAATTTTGTTTATAACTCATGGCAGACATCCAAAAATCTAATAATTCACGTTTATTCTCAAGTTCCATAAATTCCATGAAATAAAAAAATGCAGTTTCATTGTATAATATATCTGCTATCTGTACATTACCACTTGTAAGAACATCAATCTGATGTTTGCAGTGAAATTCACTTCTTAAGAAGTCATTAATATGTCTGAAAAATATGATATTTATATTTCAAAACAAAATATTTCAAGTGCTTAGAAATTTGTATACTCACTCATTTTCTAATATCTGATATACAATCTTTTGAACAGCTGATAGGCATTGCAACATAGGCTCAATGTTTTCACAGATAAGAACGTTTTCCATTTTTATCTTTAGATCCTCAGGGATTTGATTTATACCCAAAGTATCTTTAGTAATATACCTTTTATGAATTCTTAGTGCATCTTGTTTTATAGTAATCATATCTTTTCCCCTGCAGCTGTGATTTGATTGTCGCATTTTGCTTAATGTTTGGCTAGTCTTTGGCATGTCATTGCAATTTGATTTCATATCATCATTATTTACATATTCATTAAATAATAGATTCCCACTATCATGATTATTTATATTATTTTGTGTCATATCACACTGAAAATTTTCATTGTTGTCTACTGAATTTGAAATATTATTCGTATTCGTAACACAACTTAAACATTCAACATTTCTCATTTTAGTTTCCAATACATTAAATGAACTACACAGGCATTCCACTTCCAGCCAAAACTTAATAAGTGCTATACAGTTCTGTGTTTCCATAAACTGAATGAAATAACCTAGAGCACCTTTGTCCGCAAGTATTTGTGGAAGTGTCTTAGAAAGCTGAGAGTTGAAGGAACATGCTTCTTTTGTTTCACCATTAAGAATTTCTTCTTCCTCTTCCTCCTCAAGGCTGCACAATATACCTGTTGGTGTTTGGATTGATGAACCACTATTGAATACATCTCCAAATAATTTCCCAGAGCTTGTTGATTTTATGGGAGAAGTTTGTAAAGATCTGGGCCTGTCTTTTTGTCCTGTAAATATAAAAAGTTATTTTATTAATTTAGTTAATATTACTAATAAACATATATTTAAAAAATGCTTTAACTTTCAGTGATCATATGCATCATGCCAAGGAATACAAAACTCAAAAATTGAGACAATAGACATAAATATTTTGCGTTTAGGTTAACTACGATAAAATTTGTAAACAACTTTTTTATATGTGAAATATCAACGAACTATAGTATACGAGCAAAGGAATATTTACCAGGCTTTTTAAAAAATTGGAACATTGTTTACGTCACAACGAAACATGATAAGCGACGCGATATAGGATTCAGACGTAGAAATAATGTTTCAAAACCTGACGCAAGCCTCTTCCTATGGCAGGCGAAAATTATGTGTGGATTCCTTTTGAAGATGATACCAAGCACTGAATTAAAAAAATGACACGGTGAACTTCCTCGATCGTGCATATAAAATAGTACATGACATTTCAATGAGCTTTCATTAATGTCACCGTGGTTCCATTCAGGATAGCTACATTGAAATAAGCATATTCGCATCATTTGTCGATTAATGTTGCGTACATTAAAAAATGATCGTAAATCAAAACATTCGAAGATATATCAATAACACCGAACTTGCGTAATTCGTCGTTTTTATTTCTAGTATCATTCTAATGACGCGTTGCTGCCATGTTGCCGATTCGTAGAGAGTGTATATTCATCGGTTACTCTGCGCGTTTCAAAATAAGGAATGAAGTCAGCTAGAGGTATTTGTGCATGCCATTTTATGTATCCCGCGCTTTATTACTATTAAAATCTAATTATCACAAAAAATCTATAATTGAAATAATTATATAATGATAATTTTTATTTATAGTATATGTTACTTATAACGTATGGAGCATATTGTATGATGTATGATAACTTATTCCTTTCTCGTATCAAAATATTTCTGACGAGAACAGTACGCGATCGATACGAAAGGAATCTTACTATCCGCTATGGAACGATCTTTACCTCCTTGCTGTTCTCCATTCGTTGGTACCGTTCCTGTAGTAAACTGCAGAGGACGTTTAGAATAGTATTTTGATATTTAAATTCGAATTGTTTTGTATCAGTTCTCGTGTGTGTATACGTTCCGTATATATCGGTACCCGATGAGGCCAATGTCCGGCCACTGTGCTCGAGGCTCTCATGACCGTTCGACGACAAAGAATACCGGTTTCTCAATGTACTGACCACTATATCAAGGTAGAGCTCCGGTATAACGTCGCCTTTTAACCGGACTCCGGTCAGTCTGATTTCTGTCGACGATCCTTGTACATTTTTCCATTGCTTCGTGACCTATCGAAGCAAATCGATCCACTTCATCATGTATCCGCGTTACGATCTCCTCTTCGTGTTCACTTATCATGTTGTGACTGGTTTGTCCTTACCAGCAACGACCTATGATCAACGACAAACCGGTGATCTGAACGTGCAGGTTCACCTGAAGGATGTACAAGTGTTGGCGTTATTGGACCCGGAGTTGCTTGACGATTACACGGTAAAACGATGACTATCGGTCACGACGTTTATGCGAAGATATTAACGTATCTCGATACAGTTAGATAACGTGATAATGAGAACTATTATTATCGTTGGCTTTTATCTTTATTGCCTACATGATAGATATATATTTATCATGATATATACATATGATCTTAAGAGATTTACATTATTGTATATTACAATTACATCATTTTAGTGTATGGGGCAGATATGCAAAAGATAAGAAAATATCTAAACAAACTTTCTCATTTTGAAGCTCCAAGTATATCATTTCTTAATTGTAAGCCAAAAGCAATTTTCAAAAATTGACTATATAGTGTTCAAACGGACATGAATTTAAACGAGTCAATAACAGTGAATAAATTATCAGTCGAAGAATATTTTAAAATAAGTTTTTAGTAAAATAATATGATCCTAAATTGCAGGAGTACGATTATTTCTACGACTATGCTGATTTCACGATAAAACCGATCGTCAAGCCCACCACCAGTACTACCACAACTACCACCGAAACAACCCTATTAACTTCAGAAATTACCGAAGCTATTGCCTCTGAAATATCCAACTCTACCTTACAAAATTCATCTTTTTCAGCTATCGAATTAAACACAAATTCAACCATAGAAAGCACAGTTCTTTCGTCAGTAAATGCTACAGAAACAAATGAAACTTTAGCAGATTTATCAAATGAAAATTCAGAAAATTCAACTAACGCAGAGAATACATCGAGAATAAGGGTTAATAATAAAACTAAAAAGCTATTTGATAATGGCGAAGAAACCTCAACGAAACAAAAGGAATGGAGATTATCCACAGAAGATTCGTCCAATAAACTGTCTAGAAAACACTGCAGATCAGGATACTCACCAGATGGTAAAGGCCGTTGTCGTCGTTTAAGTCAACGAAAATTATCGTTAATTCCGTGAGTATTAACAAAATAAGAAACATTAAAACATATATATCTTTTCCATAAAAAATTACTATATTTAACCAATTAGTGAAGTTGTAAAGTATGAAACTCGTATATTGTAAAATATAAGCACTGTTTGAAATATAAAGATGTTTTTTAAAGAAAACGTAGATATGATCTTGTTCTTTATAGATTAGCAATGAGATTAGCGCCAAAACTTTTCGACGATCTAGCGCGTGGCACGAAGAATCTAGCATAGAAGGAAGACGATCGAATGCATTTGACCACGTGTCATGAATATTCGATATCAGTGCAGAATCGTATGTGATTGTGTGAAGTTGCCTCATGTTCCTCATGGATTTACCTTAAGTTACGTATATGTTTGTCGTTGACATTGCTTCATCTTGCATTTCTATATGCCTGTAATTCATCAAATTAGTGTATATAATATAGAAAGTAATTATACTTGACAGGGTTATAAGATTGTCGTAATAAATTTATATATTCATATTAAATGATTGTTTAGATATAAATTTTAAATAAAATACCCTGCAATATAATATCCCAAATTGCATGATGCTCTTTGAAAAATGTTCTGCATAAAAAAAGGAAGATATATGGAGAGTATCTTTAAATATCGTGAGAACCCTGTTCATTGCGAGGGTCGATAAGATACGAACGATTTGCTTTTCTAGAAAAAGATACCAAATCAAATTATTAGTTTCTTCCGCATTCTGTCTTCCGTGTCTGAGAAAAGGAATAAAAATATTGAGCAATTACGTAACACGATGTTATTTTTAAATATCTTCCTTTGCACCGTTACCGTTACTGTAGTACTAGAATGTTAATTAAATTTTTCTGCAAGAAATCAGTATTTCTTATTGCAATAAAAGTATATAAAATATTAAATTATTAGAAGTATATAAAAAAGTAGGATTTATTGTCGTAACACCGTTAGGCCATTTTAAATAGCAAATACCTTCTGTGTTCCTATGTATTCATACTATACTCTTGAAATAACTAACCTTCAATAAAATATTCTTATCGGTCATTCCGCAGATCAGTATTTGAGACGTAGTTTCTATAAAATTATTTATTCGGATTCAAAATCATTCTGAAATCTAAAAAATTAATTCTCGTTGAAAATGTTATTTATTAAGTATATTTTAAAACACGGTATCTGAGAAACACGCATGTTACAGTCAATATAATAATTTCTCACGAGAATCGCTCGATTTCTTTCTTTTAACCCGTAGAGGGGGATAAAGTCGTGAAAGAAGCTACGCACCGCAAGAGCAGCAGTACTATCATGAACAGTCTTGGTGGATAGCAGCGACTTCTTAATCATCTAACAGTCAATTTCCAGGCACACGAGGCGTTTCTTACCCTCTCCCAGCAGTGATACTCCCTAGATCTATATACAAGTCGTTGACGATCCAAAGCCGCCAAGGAAGCGGACAAATCTCTCGCACAGTCGAGGAACAGACTTCGTTCAGCTTGGCCGATTCGAGTGGTTTCCAGAGGATCTCGTCGAGATGCCGCTGCACGTCGCGTGTCTTATCTTACTATCAGGTAGAGTTACTATTATATAATTACTTTAAATCTCTTTGTAAGATAGCTTCAGTCTCAGTATCTAATTTTTATTTTTATGTAATGGTACTTTATTTTTTCTACCTTTTTAAGTCTGTTATTATGTCTGTTATTCTGAATAGTTTATATATCCTTCTAAACCTAATCAATATTAGTCATCTTTCGATGCTAAAGTTTGAAAGATGCGTTGAAATTAAATTTTTCATATTGTTTCATTTTTTATTTACATTTTATAACTTCATTTTGCAGGTATTCTATCTGAATCGTTTATTCCGCAAGTAAATGCAGCTCCAGCTATTTACGATCAACGGCAAACTGGTGACTTCAATGTGGACACAAAGTTTGAGAACTTTTTGGTGATCGTTGCTACTTCCGGTAGCAGTGGTCTGTTTAGCAACCTGGCATCACAGGCGTTGGAGCTGAACGAGCTAATCTCGCAACGCAGTAAGCAACAGTCCAGGGAGAAGCCATCTGAAACGATGATTTATGAGACGGAGGATGCAGATGGAGGGAGGGAGCCTTACCATGTCGAGATCGTTCACATAGAAAAGGAAGGAGATAGCACAGCCAGAAGTAAACATCCTGACAAATTGCCTGGAGCTAAAAGCAGCGAGAAAATTGAATTAGGAACGTTATCAAAAGATAATGAAAAAACGAACTCACAACAAACAGTCGATTCAGTGCTGTCTATTGACAGTAAAGAAGTCCTGAAAAAAACTAGAAGCCTTTGGAAAGGTGAAGGGCAACGTGATCTCATTGATGATTCTATAGAACCAAATAAAAGATCAACTGACATTAGAAATTCGTCAGTGGAGAACCTCGATCATTCTGACGACCTACCGGTAAAGGAAGAAGCATTGAAGGCAACGAGACCAGGAATATCACTGAAAAAACAATTATCTAAAAAGGAGGAAGAGGATGAACCTTCGATATCCGAGGAGAGAAACGAATTGGGCGGCAAGTATCAAGAACTGGTACTGTTGGGTGGTGGTATTGAGAACTGTGGACCTGGAAGATACAGGGATAAATTAGGTATCTGTCAACATGATAAAAATTTTAATTGAATTTTATTCCCGCTTAATAAAGGATACGTACGTTTCATTTGAGGATATTTATACATACTATATGACAATTGTGATATTTATATACTATAATCACAAGCTATCCGATGGTGCTCATAATACATGAAATATTAATAATTTAAGATCATATGTATAAAAAAAAAAGATATGTAAAAGATCATCTATTTAAAACTTTAATTCAAACCTTGATCTCTTAATCGAACTAAACACACTTATTCTACCATTTTTACATTTATATTATTTATACCATGTATCGTACATTTGTATTATGTTAAAAAAAAAAAATAAATAAATTGCGCACACAAACAAACAAATGACATCTTCGACCCTAATCTGTCATAATACATTTTTTTCTCATAATAAAATTTTATGAAATCTCTGGTAGCATAATTCAACACTTTATAAAGTTATTTCTTTGCAGAATATTTTTAAGTGCTGAAAATTTATCTATGTCTATTCCAATGGATAAATGATTAATTCTTATTTTTGTACCCAACTTGGTCTTTGAATCCAAGATGTATTCAAGAGATCTCAATTTTTAGTAAATTTTTATCAGAAGATGCAATTTAAAGCGAACCAGGAAAACAATTTGTAAAGTTCGAGCATAACGGAAATGAAAGAGCAAGGGCAAGGTTACGGTAATAAGCGGCGATTGAGACAGAGGAACGGGAAAATGAACTCGGTGGGGCCACACGAGGCCGTTGCCCTTTACAAATCGGTCTGCGTGTGTGCGCCTATGTATTTGTGTGTAGGTAGGTATCACGTGTACATCGCACACGCACATCAGTTTATTTCACGCACGAAAGAGAGTATATAAGTTGAGAGCAAACCGGCTATTGACTACATGATTGTCTTTTTCTTTTCAGCAAGCGAATTTTGCCTGAAATAGAATTACATAGATTAAGACGTAAAAAGAACCATTAAAAATGACAGATCGTCAAAAGAGGTTAAGTGAAACGAAATATTTCGTCGCGACAATCAATTATTGATTAATTCGTACATTCTTAGTATTATTTAATAAAAAAGTCGTAAGTATAAAATTTAATGTTTAAATTTCTTACCATCTTACAGTACAGTTAATTTTCATTTTTTTTTTCCAGTATCTTCATAATATAAATATGGTTGTATATTGCATAAGAAGAATATGATACCGATCAATATTGGATTAAATTTGATTTTAGTCAAAATTCAATATTTAAATCATCTGTATTGAAGAGAAATAAATAATATATATTATATATGCTGTGCAGATAATTGTGTAGTAGAATGGTATGAGATATTAACATTTTTCAAATAGGACAAATCTATTCCACTCAAGATTACATTCTATATGGCTGTGTATGTAACAGTACGTGCAGAGTGGCCCCCAGGTTCTTGAACTTGCCCGACAATCTGTTTCTATGCCAGGTGGGGACCGAGATCACCGGTCGGCAGAAGACGTCGTCATACCTTGCTCATCCTCTGCTCCGTCAAGACGTTCATTGCTCACGTTACTACATTACGGGCATCGTTTTTTCTTATTAAAAACCATCCTTAAGTCCTTTTCGTATTCTCGATCATCTCTCGATTAATTGTTTGTCACGTATCAATTTTACCTTGACTCGGTATTTTGTTTCGTGTTATTTGATAAATTGATCAAACCCGAAAACGTTGTAAAGAGTTTTACCCATCGAGTAATCTAGAATACGCGTATAGACATATTATCGATATTGGTATCGATTATCGAAACAAACATCGATGCTATCGATCAACATGCGAATCTTCAAAATGGTGCTGCTACTTGCCGCGTTCTGTTCTAATAGAGTCATTCAGTGTTTACCGATTGCGAACGAGACATCGATCATGGAATCATCGAGTCCGACGACATTGCCTCCCTACCACAATTCTACCGTCGATTATTACGATCAACGACAGAATGGAACTGAGAATTACCGTATCCACGTGGATGGCGTGATATTCGTGATCGCTCCAATCGAGACGCTCCTCCTAGCCGGTGCTGCTGGCGATAAACCTAACTTACCGATAACTGATTCTTCGAAACCGCCACCGAATAAACCGGAAGTCGATTCTAAACCAACACTGATGGCACCCAAGTCAGCACACAGGTATTTTCAAGTTTTTAAATTACACTTTGAACCAGTTTGATATCTATAGTACTTTAAAAACAGTACATTATGCTTAAATAATTAAATATAACCAACATTCACTTTTTTGCCTGATTGTGTAGTATGATTATTTGTTTTATTGTAATTTATTATTTTTGAAATTTATTATAGTAATATAATACTTTTATTTCAGAGCCAGTTTACGCTTGGCGAACTTGCTTGTCCCGTTGCTGCGTCGAATTCGTCACGAGTGAAGAATTGAAACATACGAAACTCTGCAAGACATTTACGTAAAATTTAATTATCTAATTATCTATTTTTTTAAACAAACTCATATCATCTCTTCGTCTCATCCCTATCATTCACCACTTTCCTTGACTCATCAAGATGAAGTGATCATTAATTTTACTGTAACGAAGTATTTATTTTAGAATTTATTTATAATGAGCTACAAAAAATAGAAAAAATTAATAGAAAAAAGTATAAAAATTAAAAGGTATGCTCGACTGAAAATATTTCATTTTAATTAATGCTATACAAGGTAGTAAATGGTGCAAGGTTTTTATAACTTTTTATGTTCATATTCGTTCGTATTTACCTTCACGAATAATTGTATACTTGAGTAAATATACAATATACAGTTCTTATCGAAATGAAATTTATTTGATTAAAAATTAAAATACATTATTTATGAGTTCCTTTTTTTGGTATATCATCACAATACTTTGTATAAAAAATGCTTAGGACTATGATTCTCAGAATATTCATTTGGGTGGAATCGTTTATTTCGTTAAAAAAAGAAGAGATAGAGAAAAAAATCACTTTCACACGAACTTTACAAATTACGATGTACAGTATCTAACTTGTACTGTTTAAAGGAAAGGAAAGAAGAAAACCTATATAAAAAGGCGATCGTTGAAAACGCAATTAGAATAAAACCGTAAATACACGATGTTCACTTACACATATATACAATGTTTCCGAAAACTTACACGACGGATAATTGTGACTTATGGAAGCGTGTACAAGAATATGTTCTTCAAATATATCTCACCATTAAAATAGAAAGCAGCTCTGTGTGTAAGGTGTGTGTTCTCTTTTTTCCTCGTTTCGATACTCGGGAATAATTTACGATAAATACCGATACCTTTTCATTTTCGTCTTTATTTTCTTCCTTTCAGGTAAAAACGTTCCAACGAAAGATATCCTTGGATACGTTCGCAATTACGTTTAAAACAGCAAGGACATTTAGATATCGACAAATGATGGATCAAACAATATTACGAACAATATTACGTTTCGTTTCATTCGAATGATTCATATTCGCCAATATATCGATAACGTCAATCCTCACTATCGTAAAACTAATGTACCCTGTTGATATTTCACGTTTAAAGATTATACATTTCTTACTTTTGTTTCCAATATTCGAACGAAGAAGTGAACTTCAATGAACGGGGTTTAAGGTACATTACAACCTATTCGCTTCCCTCTCTAAGTATACAGGAATTAATACTCTTGAGAAAATGGGTCATTAGTAATGATAAAATGCAATTCGGTGGGCATAATAAGGAAATTCATTAGTTAATGAAATTAAGTATTCTTAATGAATTTGTCTATTTTTTTTTTCTTTTTTTTTAAGCGATTAATCGCGAGTACTCCTAATACGAGATACCACCTAGCTATTGGTTCAACAATACTATATGCAAAAATGATAATGATTCAAAGGATACATTAAACTTATTATCTCTGACTAAATGAAAGCCTGAGTTACATGACTACGATATCGAACCGTGAATCATAGATTACACAATTCAATTTTGAAATTATAAGAAGAAATTTACTGTTATTATATACATGGATTACACATCTTTCAACGATAAAATATACTAAAGCAATGCGCACGAATACCTTCCATAATATGACGGCACGGAGAAAGCTGTACATGACTTCGACACACGCAAAATGCTTACAATTTATAGACTACGATATTATCTAACCACCTTGATATAATCTGCCGAAAAACAATTTGCATGTACAGGATGTATGAAAATTAATTGTCACAACGGTTACAGCCAGATTTTGCAATTGGAAGATGTAAAATCACGCTAGAATTGTCGCGGCGATTAATTTTCAGGCATCCAGGACATTGCCGAGCGCCAGTTCAGCTTAATTTCCACAAACAATACGCATTAGGGCAATTTTTAATGCAGCTCTCTTTTCGGCATCAACAACAAATGATTATGGAGACAACAGGGTCAACAATGATTTATATCGTCAGAAATAATAGGCGACAACAAAAGAAAGAAAAGGATAATAAGAATAAGAAAAAGGACATGTTTTTAGGAAGGGGGTTGAACCGCTGCGTTCGCGTTGAGATCTTCGCAGTCTGTACCTCCTCCAGGGCCACTATTATTACCAACTGCGGGCTCGTCAAATTTTAATTCCTCCTTACCCGCCTATAGAGGAATTATTCCATTTGACATCTTTTTCAAAAAGTCAATCGCTGGTTAAAAAATTCTTAAAACGGCACCAGAAGCATTTCATAGATATGTATCGGTAACGTCACCGGCTATTACCTCTTTGATTAGCAGACGGCAATTTTCCATCACGCTACGCCTTCTATCCGAAGTATTGCTTAGAATTTCGTCTGGTTGATGTAAGTTGTCCACGATTTTACGCAGCTCTTCCAATTCCGTCACCGTTATCTCCAATTTTGATTCTAATTCGGATCTGCAAATCGGTATATGTTTATGCGATGTTCTTTATCCTATTCCTTGATGTACATGAAGGAAATATAAAATTACTTCTCCTCTTTCATCTCCTGTATGCATGTGTGGTTATCAAGTTGTATTATTCGCAATACTTTCAGTAATTTTGTGACAAGATTATCTACATCAATAACTTGATCAACAAGACCGACAGCAGAACAGTAATCCGAGGCCAGCGGACCATCATTGGTGCCAGTGTCAGATTCGCTAATAGAATCGCAATCATCGTCCTCCTCGTTTTCAACCTGTAATATTATATAAAGTCTAGTTTCTTTATTATTAACATTTATCATTTAATGTCTACTATTTCAGATCATTTTATTTTTACCTTGCGACGATGTAAAATAGCTTGCGTGAGATTCGTAAGACTCGAACATTCCTCGTTGGTACGCGTCTTTTTGAGGTTACTTTCGTCCACAGTTTCCGGAAAGCTTAAAGCTCTGCGGAGCGAGTCGCTACTCGATACCATGTTATGCGTGTACGTATCGGGCAGGGGAACATCCTCTAACACGCTTTCCATCATCAGGCATGGCTCGGTTTCAAAATCGAGCAAGTCAGATGATGACTCCATGCTCAGTTCTAAGTTACATAAAACAAAGCAATAACAGGTAAACAATTTTTCTGAGAGCAATCAATTGATTATTCCCTTTTTGTTGATAAATCATTTTTAGATACATCATAGAAATAAATTAAATATAAATGGCAATATATACCTTTGTACATTTGTTTGGCCGATTCTAAGGTAGATTTTTTGTCAGCGTTTTTTATTGCAAAAGGATGTGTTGCTGCATTCCGAATAGCTCCAATCATCGCGGAAACAAAGGAACCGCTTTTTGGACTAGGTGTACCCTCTTTCAAACTATGCTTAGAGCTAACGGGACTTGACTCTATGCTACTATTGCTTCTACTGTATGCTTCATTGTGATATATTACATCCTACAAATAAAATTAATTATCAAGTACCATAAAATGGTAAATAGAAGACGCATAATGAGAAAAATAGCGAAATTACTTCGAGGTCTTTCACTGAGATATTATAGGATGTTATTAGTTGATCTACCAATCCTTCTAACCTAGTCCCTAGACCGGAAAGTGCAACCGCAGCTCCGGAAACAGCAGCTCCTTGTGTGAGTAAGAGTTCCCTGCTTCGTCGTTCGACTGCGTTTAATTTCATGCTCATAGATAAATTTTCTTGTCTGCACACGAGCAAAAGAATAATGAATAAGATATACAAAGAGTTATTCCAAGAGTTATTTGTCTTGTATAAGTATTTACCTTCGTTGTTCGCTAATTCGTACTAAATGCTTGCATTCTTCAGTTTGCCTCTCTAATTCTAACTCGCGTTTCCTTAACAACTCTTCCTTTTTCGCAAGCTACAAATTAGAAAGAGCAATTACACTAATGTTCTTAGTTGCTGTTGTTGTACATTTCGATGAAAAAAATACCTCTGTTTCAGCCTCCTTTAAAGCCTCCGCTAAAGTAGCTTTCTCTTCTTGCAGAAAATCTTGCATCTCTGCCGACTCTGCCTCAAGTTCTTGCTGCTGCTGTAGCAGTGCCTTTTGGGCAGCCAGGCTTTTCTCCAAATCCTCCATAAATGAACCAAACATCACGAATGAACAAATGTAAGTATATAGCTCAAACACAACACAGAAAATATAAATATAATATAACTTACCCTACTCAACATACGGCACAAAGACTGTAAATCAGCTATTTCTAACTGTTGGTTGGCAACAACTTGTCCAGACGATTGCAAATGACACTCGAGCTCCAGGAAGCTATCGCTACCTTCTAAAAGCAATCTGTATTTACCCAATCTACCAAAAACAATGAAAAAAGAATACAAGATTCTAGTTAAGGTTTCAATAATCACCGGTATGCTCCGATTGTGGCGTTCCAAGCATCGCCAGTACTCGTTGTGCATTTCTATCCAATTCCTGTCGCGCAAACGCGTGGTCGGCTTGTTCTTCCTCAAGAAGACGCTTCACTTCAGTGATTTCAGCCTTCAATTTCTCATTCTCCTCTTTCTGTTGCAACGTTTCTTCGTTCAACCGTTTTATGTCACTCTGCATCGTGTGCATGTCCTCCCACGTGCCCTCCGTTTGACATCCTTCATGCAATCTTTCAACCACTTCCGGCCCAGTGATGGCGCTTGGCACCCCAGACAAAGCGTTCTCGATGTCATGACCGGTCAGACCAGTTTGAACACTGGTTTCGTGATAAATACGTGTCTTCTCGGCAGTCTTGTGTCTAGGATAGGGCGGCAAACTCTTGTGCCCCGAAGACTCTTTGGTTCCACTCTTCTTCTCAATCTGCCTACTTAGGCTCACGTCTCTACTTCCAGATCTACTTCTGATGGCTTTGTCCGTTTTCTCACTGACCTTGACGATACTTATCTTGTTCCTGTTCCTTCTGGGCAACGTAGCATACGTGTCCAAAGCCTTGTTATCCGTGCTAGTGTTCAACTTATCCGCTCTACAAGTTTTACTAGCTTCCGTACGACCCGTATAAGGTACTCTAGGGGTTGACAAAGGTTTTCGGACCTCTTCGGACGGTGTTGAGCTAGGCGTGCGTGCACCACGTGTGCTGGACCCACCTCTGGACCTGCAGCTACTGCTCTGACCTCGACCACGCTGCGCCAGGTCCTTATTGATTACCGTAGTGAGTACGGATGGCAGTGAATCAGGAATTGGTCTCGTTCTTGTTCGTGGTGGCATGGGGGTCGTTCCTGAACGGAATGTCGTCGACACTCGACTACCACTTGCTGTGCTATCATTATTGCATTCTCTAACTGCTGATTTTTCTCTAGATCGAGCTCTGTCCCTTGTTGCCGGCTGTGCTTTACTCAAGATACCTCTGGGGGTTGTGGTACGTGGCTTGGAACGTGCGGTAGTGGCTGAATAGGTAGTGTTTAATGGAGTTGGCTTCACCCTGGTGTTTTTCTGAGTCTCAGTCGCGTTTGTTTTCTTTTTATTGGTGTTTGAGGACGTTATGGTTCTTTTCACGTTCGTTCGGTTCGCACGGGCAGAAACACTGCCTGCGATGGAGGAACTTTCGCTGCCTCCCTCGCTGGTACCTTCTCCTCCGGTGGTTAATCTTACGTCGTCCGGTAAAGTTGCACATGGGTCCTCGTAGACGGAGCAACAGCTAACTAGACTGGAATCGCAGGATGCCTCGTCAAGGCCACCACAGCTGCTTGCGTAATCTATACTGTTCCGACTTCGTACCTGAAAATGTCATTGATGAGTGTATATTCCAAACGCGTTGTTTCGCTTTAACAAAGTCATTAACTATTTAGCCCATTAGGACTCTTTAGATAGAAATCACGTAAAGGGATATCGTTACTTATATTTGATGACTTAAAAAGTTAATTTAAAGAATTTGGTAACTCTGAAGTACCCCTCGACGCCTCAACCAACAGACCCCTCCTATGTAAAATACTAATGACCTTCTCGGACTGCTTTGAGCTATTCAACTTCCTAAGGCAAATCTATTTACAGACCGAAGTGGGTCACCCGGTATAGTGAACCATAATCCTAAAAGCTCTCTTGTATCAACATCCTTCATAAGTAATAAGCACGCGAATTTGTGACCTTCAATGTTTCCACAGAGAAACCTAGATACCCTTGTTTAATAGGTCACTGGAATAATTGAAACTGACCTCGAAGCAAATCTCGCCCCATGCCAATTTTCCTCACAATAAATTCTTTCTTACCAAAACTTTGACCTTCGCCTGTCTCTACCTCGAACTCATCTTTCATACAATTCCTGTTTTTATCTCGTCATCGATCTTATCATCAATGTCAATCAATAATATCGTCCTTGAACGCGTCTATCGATGTCCTTTCTCCAATAATTTTTTCTTTTCACGAGATCATAAGAAACGAGATATCCCTTTACATGGAAGCCTCCTAATCGAACCGATGGTCCAACAATCGGAGACCCAGGTTTCCCTGCGTCACCGATCGATCCTCACCCTCGGTACCTCAGTGGCGCAGCCCTCTACGCCACTATCGCTTCCGTCCTTACTGTCCTTCCCTTCGCCAGAGTAATCCTTCCTGTCGTTGTTCAGAGTCGCGTCTGCCTTAGGCGCCTCGGAGGACTCGGTCACATGGATCACGGTGATGTTGCATTCGCTGTTCATCGTCGTGTCTGGATCCTCCTCGTGCAGAAGCTTATCAGCGTCGACCAACGGGGATGCGAGGTCCTCCGGAACGCCTGAGTCCTGCCTCGCGACATTCTGCACTGGCGACACTTTCAGACTGTTGTCCTCGAGAGGCGTCTTCTCCATCTCGAGGCTTAGTTGCTCGTTGCTCGGTGACACGCTCATTTCGCGGTTGCCATTCTGCAATTGAACATGGACAAATTATAGATGGCATTGCATTGTATTGTATAGAGAAATTGTTAATTATTACATTGGATAATTAGACACCAGCACTGCGTGATGTCATGGTGCGGAATCATGTGCTATTACATAACTTCAACAGTCTGTGATATATGATTTTATTGAAATAGGATTATGATTAAATTGAATTGTTGAAATAGCGTTATCGTAGCGGCAATTACGCGAAACGTATTACCTCGAGTTTTTATCATGGCTATTAACACTTAGGCTCCTGTTCCTGATAGTGTTACGCCGCAACGACTTCCTTGAAGAATATCATTATTTTTTCTAGAGCTACCTCAATGATTGCTTTTGCTTTTAGTGCTATTGTCATTGTCATTGCTACCCGTTACTGTTGTTTTTCGTTGCTATCTCTATCGTTGATGTTACTGTTATTACTCTACGTAATTACTATTTTGGTTGCTATTACTGTCGTCACTGCTACCTCTGTCTCCACTAACGATGAAAAAATTACTAAATTATTGGCTATTACTTGAATTTATAACGTAATTATGTTAAAATGTATCTGTAATTTTGCTAAAAGTTTATAAATAATTAAACTTATTGTTAATAACAAATTAATATTATTAATAACAAATTGGCCACAACGCATATTTATCATTAAAATGAAAAAATTAATAAATTATTAGTTATTAAGGCGGAAAAATAATAATTAATGGAATCGGTCAAGTTCGGAAATTTTCGATCGGGGTGGGGGGCTCGGTCGATCGGCGCCTATATAAGGAGGGCCGCTCCGCTCCTCCACTCATTTGTCGGTTCGACTTTGGAAGTGACACGTCTAAATTTCTAAATGCGCGGACGGGGTAGGGGATCCGAAATGTGGTTGGGGCTAGCCACCCCATTCACATCTCACCCCATTAAACCATTTACTAATAATTTTTTTTTATTTTCAGGCATTAATTATTTTTTTATTTCAGGATTTAATTATTTAATTAGTTTAGTATTTAATTAGTTTAAGTATTAATTATTTTTTCGTTTCTATTTATATTTATTTGAGAATTCGAATATTTCGTATAATATTCGAATATCTCATCGTTTGGTTGTTTATGTCTTATCGTTGGGTTGTTCGTATCTCATCGTTCGGTAGTTCCTTTTATTTGATATCTTCATCTTTGTGGTACAGGGCCTCGCTAGGGACCCTCGGCTTGGTTTTGGGTGTTTCGCTGGTTCGTCGATCGCTCTCGTTTGCGAATAAGTCATGGCGGGGTCTGTGGTGGCTGGGTGGGCCAGGTTCGATCGGAAGGGTGCCGAGGCATGAAGTTGTCTTGTACACGAGAGTACGTCTCGTAGGCTAGTCGGTCTTTCGAATAATCGCGAATTCATTCGGGCGCGTCGCGATTTTAACTTAGTTTTCCTTTGCTCGCGTTTTTCATATTTGATTCCCGAATATTGTGGGAACTTGGAAATATTAGAGTCTGTTAGCGCTGCGACAGTAAAGTAATAAATTTTAGTATACCGAATCGAAGTCCCTTTGATAAGACACGAAATTTCATAAACTGTCAGTAGAGTCATTTTAACTTAATTCGCTCCAAGTTAGATTAGGGTACCCTTGATACAGGAAGCACCAGTAGGTTGCGCCACTAGGGCGTATGTCCGGGTCTCGATGTGTAGTCACCTCCTCGTGGTGAGACCTGGTAATTGGTATCGTTTTCCAAAGAATAATTTTTGGAAAACGATACCAAGCTAAGAGTTACGCACTAAAGTTGAAATATTAGTTATAAGCTAGCTGTAAGTTAATTATAAGTTAGTTATAAATTAGTTGTAAGTTAGTTATAAGTCAATTAGAGAACCTGATTGCAAAAAGACAATGTTTGGTTGAAATAAACAAGCACGTGTAACGGGAGAAAAAATTGGATTCATGGAATATCACCAGCATAGAGCCATTAGATATCAAGAATTATATTTTATAGTTAGAAAAAATTGAAGCAGTAATAAAAATATGTAAGGTATGATATGCTATTGAATTTCAGGTTGGCTAACCATATGACATACAGGATAGAAATATTTGATGATTAAATAAAAATTCAGAAAAGGGAGATGATTTAGGCGGACAAAAGGGAATAAAATTAATTTAGGTGATGTCCTCTTATGAGAACAGAATATAGAGAATACAATGAGATTGAAAGGTATGTCGTATTCCTGATCTAAATAAATATTAATATCAGTGGTCAAAGTCACTGATTATTACTAATCTGTTAAATTTCAGATTGATGGAGCTGAGGTACATAAAGGAAGGAAAGAAGTTCTAATGAAAGCAGTGAGAAGAGGAAATGTATATTACGTAGAATCAAGAAACAAAAAAGAGGCAGCATATGTATCAACAGAGAAAGACGTGTGGCATCGATATGCAAATATAAAGTTCATTGAAGAGATGGCGAATGAAGAACTGGTAATAATTCTGAAAAGTAGAGATAAATTGAATATAGAGTGTGAATGTTGCTTTAAGGCAAAAATCTGTAGGAACACACATAGGAAACTATAAAAACAGCAGGAA